GAGAGAGAGGGAGAGAGAGGCATGTTCCTGCAAATTGGGTTTACTTGGGTTTCTGGAGATAGGCTTGTTTGTGGGAGTTGGGTTTAGAGAGAGAGAGGCTTGTTTGTGCGAGTTGGGTTGAGAGAGAGAGAGGCTTGTTTGTTGGAGTTGGGTTTCTTGATAGAGCCTGGTTTCTGCGAGTTGGGTTTCGTCTAGCGAGAGCGAGAGAGAGAGAGAGACATGTTTCTACGTGTTGGTTTTTGAGAGAGGTAGAGGGTTTTGGAGGGTCTATTTCGAGAAGATGGGATCGGGAGTCTTTGGTTTTTTCTCCCTTTGGCACATGGGTTCTGGCTCAAACTGCATAGGGACTCGAGGAAGTGAGTTTTTCTCTCTCTAGATGAGAAAATGGAGGAAAATGCGGCTGCTTTTCACACTGCTCAGAATTCAATCCAGGCCTTGGGGAGGGGTTTTGATGTGTGCTCTGATACAAGGTTGCTTTATTGCAAGGGTTCTTCTGGTTCGAGAATAGTTGAAATTGATGAAGAACACTCAAAGAACTTGGAGGTCTGTGAAGGCCTAATTGTGCCTAATGTTTCTAGAGAAATCAAATCTTCAGAAGAAAAGAGCGAGCGTGAGATCACTGGAGTTTGCCGTTTCTATGAGGTGAAGTGAACCATTTAAATTTTCATGAATGGAACACTCTTTGAGTTTAGCATTTCTATGGAAGATGGAGCTTGCAGTTGGATACTTTCTTTGATAAATCAATAGAATTTACTTTTAGTGTGTCATTTCTTTGATAAATCAATAGAATTTACTTTTAGTGTAACACTTCTCTGGAGTGTTCAGTCGAATTTTCTTTGGGTTTTGATTCAGTCGAGAACATGGTTATTCATGTATAGAGTAGCAAACATTTATTGTGCAATTGAATATCAGGTGTTGTTATGTTGAGAACATTGTGCTTCATTTAGTATTTTATGTTTGGGACATTTTGCTGTGACTGTATGCTGCTAATAATTATTTGGAAAATCAATTCCTTTTAAGTGATAAATTGTATAGATGATTGAGATGAAATTTTAATACCAGTATTTTTCTTGTTGAAATTTGTTGCCATGAACCTTATTTGTTAAGAGCCTGAAACAACTTTTAACTTTCAAACAATACAAAAAGAAAAGAAAAACGAAGGCTATAAGACAACCTAGCAAACAACGATCAACTTTCCATGAAAATGGTGTCTCAAAACTTTTAATATGGGAATCGGATTGGGTTACTGATGAGGAAGCATGGGGTTATTGATGGAAACAGATGGGGTATATGACAATTGGGCCAAAACAACGGCATCCTCATGAGCTTTGGTTTCAAGCAATTGGGTACTAAAGTGCGACACAACAGGTTGATCTATACCAATGCGTGAAAATTTGCTGGAAATACATTCCTGGTGGTCTAGAAGGTTGAAAAGTTATGAAAATGGTTGGTTGTGGCTATTTCTGTTAAAGCGGGGACTTCCTCAATCTCTGCCTCTGTAGACGTTATTTTTGTGGTGGTTATGCTGGGTGTTTGAACCTTGGACTTTTTTCTAGTCGTAGCTAGTTTTTTTAAGGGCCATTTAACATTAGCTTTAGGGTCCTTCTGCCTTTACCACTAAGACAAGAGGCTGAACTGAAGATTAGCATGCTCGTATAAAACCTGAAAAAAGGCCAAAAATTGTTTCCAAAGGTAGAGAATGAGCTCTAGGCATTGTGGCTGGTGCCTCAATTGGATGTTTTGAATTCCGGTCTCACCACATCCCATGTTAACATTCAGGAAATAAAAAGAAAAAAAAAAGCTATTTGACTTTTGTTTCGCTCCCTAACAGTGAGAGTTTGGGGAAATTTACTCATGTTTGTTAGTACCTGAACAAGAACAATAGATAGGACGCCTAGAAGCAGGACATGACTCCACCCTGTCTCTTTCTCTTTGGGGAAATTGTTACTCGCTTTTCTCTACCTGTGGACACTAGATGGAATCTACAGAATCAGGAACGATTCCCACGCTTTCTCCATCACTGTCCATCAATTCATGACTTTATTAGACGGTGTGACCCCAATGGGCTTACATTTATTTTTAAATCAGTGGTGATCCAAATGGACTTACAGTCATAACTTTCCATAGTCCATAGGATTGTTACTATGCTTTCCCCATCTATTTCCTTTGAGTGGACTAGTTAAATCTACATGGTCTAAATAGTAGTAATTCAATTTGCCTCATCACATTATTAGACGATGTATTTCTGATAGGGGTTATACTACTAACTTCTTTCAATTTCCATATTGAGATACTTTGTAGAGATCTTGTTGCTGATTCTCTCTAGTTGCTTTTCCATTCCAATAACTCTTAGACATTCAGGTCACAATGTCCAAATAAGATAATTTCTGGAGCTCTGTCGAGCAGGTTCTGCAAGGTAGAGCCTTATAAATTTTAGAAAACACAAACTAATGTTTTAAAAGCCGGTCTCCATAAGCAAACCAGGCAGGCATGTGTCAGGTTAGCTTGGCAATACCCTAGTTGGCCTTGCGAGTCTTACCTGAATTGAAAAAAAAAAAAATCTATAAAATCAAAGCAATGAAAAATTCAGGAAAATTCAAAAAGTTAGAAAATAGAAAATTCAGAAAATTGTAAAAAATAATAATTATACAAGGAAAAATCTTATATAAGGTTGCAACCTTAAAATGTAGAATTACAGATGCACCTCAAAAATCCATCAAAAAACGTTGTTTTAATGTTGAAAAACCCTCTAATTGATCATCTCAACAACGAGATGTATGAATATGAAAAAAATAAGAAAAAGATTTTGAGTCCTAGAAATAATGCATCTTGCAAACATTATCTAATCCGTCCATTTTCAAAATTTTCATATGTTTATAGATC